GGTTCAAAGGATAGAACACATAGTGCTCTCTTTTAGTGGGCTAAATTCATGCATTTGGCTAACAAAAGGGTTACCAACAAATGGCCTTGATCATATGATGCAAACAAGCAAGTGATTCAATCATAGAAAACCTGGGCAAAGTCATTCATGCTTTCATAGTAATAGTATTCAACAATAACAACTCTAGAGCTCAAAACCTCACATATAAGCTCATTCACACTCCATATACACATCTTGCTTAACATCATAGTCACAATCACAATATCATGCATTTGTTCACATAGCTCGTGAACCACCTGTATAAGCATATAAAGTGCACATTCTCAACATCAATCAAGATTCAAACATCATCAAGCAATACTCATCATGCAATCAATCATAAGCAAACCATCATAACAGACAAGTTTCAAATTTAGTACATCAACCCTATTCTAAAAACAGGAGCAAATAAGTTCAATATTACAAAACACTAGGTTGCCTCCCAGTAAGCTCTTGTTTAACGTCACGAGCCTGACCGAAAATAGTTCAAGGATCCGCCAACTTTATCACTGTGGATAATTGTTCTACTTCTCCTCCTAAATAATGCTTGAGACGTTGGCCATTCACCATCCAACTTCTTTGTTGATCACTGGCAGTTGGATCAATTAATTCAATTGCTCTATGTGGACGCACAATCTTCACTATGAATGGCCCGGACCATTTTGACTTCAACTTTCCAGGAAACAACTTCAATCTTGAATTGAACAATAACACCTACTTCCTGGATTGAAAATTTTCTTTATCAACTTCCTGTCATGATAGAATTTTACCTTTTCTTTGTAGTTTCTGCATGCAACCGCATCTCTTCAAGTTCCAACATTTTCCTTCTACGCTTATTTTGAGTTTTAGAAAGAACAAAATTCATAAATTTAAGCGCCCATAAGGCTTTATGCTCCATCTCCACTGGTAAATGACATGCTTTCCCATAGACAAGCTGATAAGGTGATAAACCCATAGACGTCTTCATTGTAGTCCTGTATGCCCAGCGAGCATCATCAAGTTTATGTGACCAATCCTTTCTTGACATAGCAACTGTTTTCTCTAATATTCGCTTGATTTCTCTGTTAGATACTTCAGCTTGACCATTAGTCTGTGGATGATAAGGTGCAGCTATCTTATGTCTCACACCATAATGTTTGAGTACCTTAAATAGCTGATAATTGCAAAAATGAGATCCTCCATCACTAATGAGTACTCTAGGAGTTCCAAAGCGTGTAAAGATTTGCTTCTTTAGAAATTTAAATAGTGCTTGCATCAATTTTAGGACACGCCAATGCTTCTACCCATTTACTCACATAATTTACGCCACCAAAATGTATTCATTGTTGAAAGATGGTGGAAATGGTCCTACAAAATCAATGCCCCAGCAATAAAAAATTTCAACTTCTAGAATGCCCTGTAATGGCATTTCATGACGTCTTGAAATATTTCAAGTTCTTTGACACCTGTCACAATTCCTGGCATGATTATGAACATCTTTAAATAAAGTAGGCCAATAAAAACCTGATTGGAGAACTTTTGTTGTTGTTCTTTCTCCATT